TTTTCAGTCAGTTTGTAGCTCCAGAATTTGTTTCACTGCCTACTTCTTCTTATGGGTACAAGAAACACATGAGCAACAACCAAATTTCCTTCAAGACCACAATCAGTCTGGAGTCAGGCTCTGGAACTGAAAGCTGTTTTTGATTAGGTAAGTAAATTCAAGGTTCATTGTGAAAACAGTGAGAAGTTATTTAAATCCTTTCTAAATGTGCCAGTGTCTTGAAGATACCTTTTTTCCACAGCAATATTTTGATGGCATGCCTGAATGATCAAGCTCTAGTGTCCTGTTGTGATTACTCCCATCATGACCCTGGGCGCAAGGGCAGGCTTGGCTTGAATTTGTTTTTTCCATGCTGACTCGGATGAACACAGCAGAGCAGTGTGTCATGCTTCTGGGCAGGTGGCTCTGTCTGAACATGGACCCTCTGAAGTCTGCACAGGATATTTTATAGCCCATGACCAACCACACTGCCCTGGTCTAATCATATCAAGAAGCCACCCTGGATCAAGGTGAGTCAGATTCTGTCACTATCACCAACTGAATCACAACAGAAGAGTTAATGTTAAAAGGGATCTTAAAAGACCACATCGTTACACAACCACTCCTCCAAAGGCATAGACACCTTCCACCAGACCAGGTTGCTCCAATCCAACCTTAGGTTGGATTGCCCATTCAACCTTACCTTGAACTACATGGAAAAACCTGTTGTTCCAGTGCCTCCCCACATTTTGAGTAGCTTCCTCCTAATGTCTAATCCAAATCTCCCCTCTTTTAGTTTAAAGCTATTACCTCTTCTCCTGTTGCAACACTCCTTGATAAACCATCTCTCTCCATCTTCTCTGTAGGCCTTCTTTAGGTAATGGAAAGCTGCAATAAGATCTTCCTGGATCCTTCTCCAAGCTCAAAAACTCTGACTCTGTCAGCTTTTCTTCACAGAAGAGGTGTTCCAGACCTCTGAATATCCATGTGGCCCCCATGTGGACTCACTCCAATATATCTTTATGTTCAGGGCCCCAGAGCTGGACACAGTACTCTAGGTGTGGTCTCATGAGAGCACTGGAGAAGACTCACCTCTTTCAGTCTTCTACCTATGTTTGCCCTGGCTTTCTGGGCTGCAAGTACACAATTGGCTCACGCTGAGTTCCTCATCCACTTGTACTCATACACATAGCTGACAACCCTCAGTATTTCTGAATTTCAGATTCACAGCTATCTTACTCAACAGGAATAGTCTCCAAATGATTACACAAATGACATATTTTGCAACAAGTAAAAAAGACTTCAGTTGTATTTCTCCTGTCTTCTGAACTTCCAGAAAGCTCCAGTTCTGCATTCATTTTTAGCATTCTACTCTTCATACTACAAGGTAATCAGTGATGACTCAGTACTTTAAGCCTGTGAAAGAAATTGAGTGCTCCCTGTCATTCTAGCTTGGTGAGGAGAGCAGCAACATTACATCCAAACTGTTAGGTTGAAGCTCAGACTTAGAGCTCTCAAGTTCATACACCCCAATTGATCTCATTGCATATATGTTGAGCTCAGACTTGGCTTGAATCTGGAATTGCAAACTGTGGCAGAGACTTGCATCTTGCTAGATTGGATGAGCTTAAGCCAAATGAAATTGCCCACAAACTGGCAAAGATTAAGAAACTGAAGATGTAAAGATCCAACTCAAAATCATCTGAGAAACTCTGGCCTTTTAGGCATAGTTCCCAGTAACAAACTGTGCAGCCCAGAACACATGAGCATATAGATTTAAAGACAGCTGTTGAGTTCTTACTGTTCCTAGCTGGATAGCCTGTTTTCATAGGTGCAACCTGCCATAAATTAGAATGATGTCACTGACACTGTACTGAATATGTCATTAATTCAAGGTTAGATAAGCACAAAGGAAGCTGACTGTAAAATACAGACAACAGAATCTTGATCCAAAAACAGTATTACCATAAATATTACTTCATATAATACCTTTTTAAAGTTTATCCACCAATTTCTTCTTCAATATTTGAGAATTTTCCCAGTTTGAAAAGTTTCCCAGTACAGCGATACCATGACTACAGACGCGTGAATATGAATGCATATGCACACATGCACATTTATACACTTGTGTATGTAACAAGAAAGCCAGAATAAAACCCTTTAGGCTTGATTTTTTTTTTCCTAGCTTGCTGAAAAATCTTTCACCTTAAGAAACACTGATTTAAATTCTTTTATACTGTCCTCTCTCTCCAGCCAGATAATTCTATAAGATGGGAGCAATGTGGTTCATCAAGAGACAAGCTAGTCCACTTCTCTGACAAAACATAACATTAGGGATGTTTCTCACATTTTCCATGGGTTTTTTTTTGTTTGTTTGTTTGTTTTGCCTTACTTGCACTTTAATGTTGCTAACAACATCAGCTGAACAAATTTCCTTCAGCCAATAATTCATGTCCTACTGTTTGAATTTTTCTTCCCTTATATCTAACCTAAATCTTTTGTTTGCCCATGCAATACTGTGACTTATCCTAAAGACACAGAATCATAGAGTCACCAAGATTGGAAAAGATCAGCAAGATCATCCAGTCCAACCATTCCCCTATTGCAACTATTTCCCACTAAACCATGTCCCTCACTACAACATCTAAATGTTTCTTGAACACTTCCTTGGACAATGACTCCACTACCTCCCTGGGCAGCCCACTCCACTGCCTGATCACTCTCTCAGAGAAGTAATATTTCCTAACATCCAACCTGAATCTTTCCCTGAAGCAACTTGAAGCCATTCCCTCTAGTCCTATCACTGGTTGCATGGAAGAAGAGGCCTACCTCCACTTCACCACAGCTTCCTTGCAGGTAGTTGCAGAAAGCAATGAGGTCACCCCTGAGTCTCCTCTTCTCTGAACAATCCCAGCTGCCTCAGCAGCTCCCCATAAGACTTGTGCTCCAGACCCCTCAGCAGTTTTGTTGCCCTTTTCTGAACATGCTGCAGGGCTTCAATATCTTTCTTGTAGTGAGGAGCCTAAAACTGAACACAGTACTTGAGGTGCAGTCTCACCAGGACTGAGTACAGAGGGATGATCACTTCCCTGCATCTGCTGGCTGCACAGTTTCTGATACAAGCCAAGATGCCATTGGCCTTTTTGGCCATCTTGGCACACTGCTGGCTCATGTTCAGCTGAGCATCAATCAATACCCCCAGGTACATTTCCTCTACACAGTCTTCCAGCCTCTCTGCCCCAAGCCTGTAGTGTTGCCTGGTACTGTTGCAGCCAAAGTGGCAGGACCAGCACTTGGTCTTGCTGAACATCATCCCATTGGCCTCAGCCCAGCTCCAGCCTCCCCAGATCTCTCTGTAAGGCCTTCCTATTCCCAGGCAGACTGACATTTCCTGCCAACTTGGCGTCTTCTGCAAATGAATTGACACCTGAGCAGCCTCTCCTCCTCACTAGATACTTAGGGATACTGTCTCGTAACATCCTCCTTCACAAAAACCTCTATGTAACATTATATAACTTCCAATCTTCTCTCACATTTTATAAAATGTTCTCATTGCTCTTTATTTCAGACACTCTTCAGCTGGTCTACACTTTATGAAATGAAGCAAAGCTAAATCCAGGTATAAAAATTCACAAATAACTAATAATTTTTTATCCTCTTATCAACGTGGTTTGGCATATTTGTGTTATACACTGTTATTACAGTTATGTGGCTGCAAAATTAGTATTTTTAAATCAGGACTGAATTCTGGATAAATCCTACAGATAACTAAATATGGGATTTCCAGGAGCACTTTGAATTGCGGCACTTTAGAGCTGGATTAGATAAGAATGTCATGATGATATTATCTGACAAACTAAACAGATATACAAATGTAGGGCAATTTTTATCTTATTTAACCAGGCTAAGTCTTTAATTGTGTTTACCTGTTTTCTTACCTACTAAGTATATAATGTACGATAACTAATTAGTCTAGTAATTTCACATCGATAGCTACTTACTCTTGTGAAGTGGAAATTCCATCTACTTAATTGGAAACTTCTATGAATATTGAATTTTGCAAATGTAAAAAAATATGAAATTGAAGTATATTCTAGAAATAATTTATCTGTAGTCTGATATGCCAACTATTTAACTCCTGAACTTTCAAAATAAGAAAGATCTTGATACTAAATAAGTTTTCTCTATTGGAAAATCTGCCTGCTGCTTATTCAGTGCTGGAACAGTCAGATGTATGCAGTATAGTCTGCTCTGAGTTTACAAAAAAAGAAAAAAAAAGCCTTCCAAAAACAAACCTGCTAATAAAAATATGCGTAGAATTTGTCTTTAGCAGAGGGAATGAAAGCAGGTTGGAGGTATGGAGATGCTTGAGCTCAGAGAAAAGAAACAGTAGGGTAGCCAGCAAAAATTAATTTGAATAATAACAAATAAGCCATGGATAAGAGAGGATCAGAATCTAAGAAAAGAATCATTAATTAATTGCATCCCCCTCCTGTTTGTTGCAAAGACATGGTTTGCTGTGTATGGTGGGAGAGGGAAAGGAGAATACTATCTTTTTTTTTTTTGTCAATCGCTCTACAATAATAGAAAAAGGCTTCATACACAAGAATATTAATTCACCTTGGCTCCATGTTCACTGTTCCCAGATGAGAAACAGTAATGATCATAGGGACCCAGCAGTGTTCCCTTAATAGTCCCTACGTTAGATAAGATGGCTTCCCACTTAACTAAACAAACTGATGCCTTAAAAGTATGACCAAAATTAAAGATGAATTTAAGAAAATTACTTATGGCACAAAAAGCACATTAATGCTGCCCACATCATTATTTATAGAGAAAGAAGGTTATTTTGATTGAGGTGATAAATTACCTTTCTACAGCAGAAGAAAAAAAAAACAGTTTACAGGTTCAAGCTGTAAAGTTATTAAACAAGGTCTGTCTGTACTAAGCAATGCACAGCATATTAGAAAAGTCAATTTCTTAAATTAAGTGGCAAATTAGCAAGTGGATGAAGGACTGACCTTGGATCGGGGTGGTGCTCGGATGTACCATTTACAGTCTACTGCTTCAGTTTCAGAAGCTTTTCCTTCCTTGACAATTTGTACAGATTCCACAATTCCTTCAGGTCCTCCCATTTCAAACTCACAAACTAAATAACAAAATATCAGAAAAATGAATCCTGAACAGCAAACAAAAATATTTTCTACAGCACAGCACAAAGGCCTCCAAAACTTAGGAAAAAACAACATACCAACCTGGCAATGGTTTCAAAACTCCAAGGTCCTTAAAATCTGGATCTTAAAAATTGAGAAAGAGAAAATTAGTTTTGTTCAATATCTTGGCTGTAATGTCAGTGTGCTAAATTTTAACTGGAGTGATATAGTTATACATACATTTCTTAGGATCATGACTTGCTTATACAAGAAGTTTAAAAACTATGGCAACACAGTAATTATTAATGCAGACAGTATTGATACTATTGTGCAAAGTTCTTATTCTATTTCTACTTTAGTCAAAATTTCCTCTATCTCACTCACTGTTTCATGAGTGAGAGTTAAAAAAAAAATTATGCAGATCCAGGCATGCAAGAACATTACACAGTTAACCCCAAGACATTTGAATACAGGCACATAAAATAGGATAAATTTACAAATCCTTTCAGAATCCCTTTGCCTATTCTGCATTTTCAGTGTGATTATAACACCCAACTTAACTTGATTCTGCATTTATGAATACTCTACCACCCCTATCAACAGTGAGGATTCTCTTTCTTTCTCAGAGGCACCCAACCAGCATTCCATAAGTAATGGAATTCATCACATAAAGAAGATAATAGGTCTAATATGCCTGCTATTTTTTATCTGATAAACATAATATTTACTAAGATGCTTTATATCATGCCTTTACAGCCTGATAACACTTAAATAAGTTTGATCATAGATCTATGTCTCAAACAGGTATCCATAGACAAGCAGTATTTCACAAGATTTTTCCATAGTTTAAAGATATTTTCCTTTGAAACACTTTAGCCCCTTTTATATTTCTGGTTCTGGACAACTATCTCTTCAGAACAGACTAGCCTGTACTTTTTCTCTCTTGCATTATTGTTCTGCCTAATACGAATATTCTATACTGTTTTGCTCATCTTCAGGGGGAATATAACAGCAAAGAACTCCACCATTCTTTACTCTTTTTTTTCCACAAAATTTGATAGGATCTGCTCTTCCAAAACCAATTATAAACATCTACATGCAAACACTCTGCATCAAGATTCTCCTGGCCACATTCTACCCAGGCCTCTGAAGGACTGTACAAAAGGAAAACCAAGTTAGAGTCTGAGCCGTGTAGTCTAGTCAGAACACATTACTGCTTCAATTCAGTGTATCAAAAGTTATACAAAAAAGGAGGAGAAAATTTGACAAATAATATGAAAAACAAAATCCAGTGCTCTATGAGCAAGAATAGCCATTTCAGTCCGAACAGGGAGGATATACTGTCAGAACTGGAGTTGTAAAATCACCTTTTAAAACTGTCTTGTTATAAACAGGCTGCCATTGTTCTTCCAAGTTTTCTTTTACAGTGGCACAATATAAATCTTGATTAAATACTCATGAACTTAGGAGACTGCAAATATAATTGAGCAGGCAATTAATATTACGTAGTTTTATAGATCAGCACATAGATATGATAACAAACAATAGTAAACATAATTAAACATTTCAATTAATGTACTCAGATGTTGATATCTACTGCTGAAAGCAAGACACTTAAAAGAAATATAATTAAACTACTGGTTTAAATTAACATCAAAACCATGCCTAGTGTAACCATCAAATTTCTTCTGAGTATACAAGGACTGGTCTGCAAACACTCCAACACACTTATAAAGTACAGAGAAGCAAACAGGAAGAAACAGATCTTGATGGAACTTCTCTCAGCTGAAGTGAATTTTCATAGAAAGGAGTCGTGGTAGCAAGAGTCCAAGTGTCTTTCTGCATCAGCTGACCATACTAGAAACAGGTGGAGAGAATTGGACACAGACTGTGTGTCAGATTGTGAAAAACTTTTGCTGTTCAGGTTTTAAAGTCTGATCACATCGTATACTAAGCATACATTAACCTTTTGCCAAGCTGCGAAGGACAGAAAGCTCTGAAAACTTAGGGCAAAGAGAAAGACCTGACTTATTATGCAGTGCTTTCGGACCCAAGTCCAATAATTTGAGAGAAAATGTGTCTGTTCAGTCATGCCCACCAGGTAGTTGATACGCTTTGTGTTAGAAGGCTTCCATGTCCAGTTTTGGTAGTTCATGACAGAAGTAGAAAGATAAGTTATCTGCTCTCCATAAGTATTAATATTATGGTAATAAAATTAAATTTTTCAAAATGATAGCGAAGTGAAGATAAAAAGAATTCATACATTTTTATTTAAAAAAAAAAAACACCTTTGTTTTCCAGATGTAAAACTCATTCTACCTGCTATTTCAGTGTTTATTATCAATTTTCAAAGCATCTTACTTGAGTAAAATTAATAAAGCTGAAGTGTAATCCAGACCATACATTTTAATGCATTAAAAAACTCCAGTCATACCTTCCCATTTTTTAGCAGTACAGTTATTACAAAGTCACACCAAAGTACAAAATCTGTTAAAATTCTACAGATATGTTAGATCTTGAATTGGACAGGCTGTGAAAAATTATCTTTCTGTAGCTTAAGAGTGAGAGTGAAATAAAGTCTGTGACACTTCAAGTAATATATTAATAGTATACTGGCTGATACAACAGTCTGGAAGTAAGGCATTATCAGAGACTCTGAAATTTCAATGATGTTGAAGCATATTTACCCAGCAAAATTTTGTTTTTAAAATAATCTACCATTAAATAGATTATACTTCAACAGCTCTTCTGTATGCAATTCAATTAAATTGTTATTGTCTGTCTGGCTGAGTCAGAACTCTTTTAATGGTATCTAAACACTGACTGACTAGATCTTCTGATAGCCAGGTAGTCATTTCTTTTGCAACTAATGAAAATCAAGTTCCATTAGGGAAAATTCCCAAGTCAGAGAAAACAAAACAAAACAAAACAAAACAAACAAACAAAAAAAAACCACACTGTAAAAAACAAGATTGATCACCTACAACTAGAGAGAAAAACATGCAATAAGTCTTGAGAGCACTGCAATACACTGACTTCTTGTTTTATTTCTTATGGAGAACTCTCTCATTAACTGAAATATGAGAAAAATGGTATTTACATGGGAAACGTGCAAATATGTAAAGCATATGTAAATAGAAGACCTTACAGCCAAAATAAATGCAATGCTTCTTAGATATGAAATGCCTCCTTTAAAAACTAGCAAACAAAAAAGGGTATCCAAAAATTTCCTTAGGTGATACACCACTATCAGTTTCATAAATAACAGATTGTTGTTTTGTTAACTCAAGCTTTACTGCAAAATCCCTGTAAAGCACAGTACTACATTTGAAAAAATATTATGAGATACAAAATATGTACCAGGTTATTTAGAGTTACCACCAAACAAACAGAATGAGATAATTTAGAGTAGCCAGGAAGAAGCTGATGATATCTGTAGGTTTTCTTACCCTGTAAGAAATGGGTTGGATAATGAGACAGTGGTGGCTGAACAGATGGGCCCAAGATCTAGTTGGAGGACATTAACTGGTGGTGTACTTGCTGGCTGCAGTTATGTTCAATATCTTCCTTAATGATCTGGATGATGCAGCAGAATGCTCTCTCAGCAAGTCTGCAAAGAACACTAAACTGGTAGACACACCAGAGGGCCTTGCTGCCATCTTGAGGAATCCTGCTGCCATCTTGAGGAATCCTAAGTTGGAAGAATGGACTAGCAGGAACCTTGTGATGCCCAAATACAAAGCCTGGGAAGGAAAACTCCAAGCAGCAGGACATCCTGGGAGCTACCCAACTAGAAAGAAGATCTGCAGAAAAGGACCTAGGCACCAAGTGGAACATGATCTAGCAATATACCCTTGAGGCTCAGAGGGCAACAGGACCATTAGGCAAAGTATCACCAACAGCTGATCCTTCATTGGTGAGGCCTCATCTGGAGTGCACTGTCCACTCTAGTGGAATTTGCTCCAAATCATAATACAACTGGCATTTCCTAGAATATCTTAGATCTAGAATCCATCTAATTTCTCAGAATCATTTATATGTGAATAAAGTATACATGCTGAAAAATATGAACAATGAACAATTAATGTATGATTAGAAGACATAAGCTATAAAATCCTAGTGCATGTATGAGACCTATTTTACAGTTAATTTTTTTCCCCTATTACTTGGAAATGAAGGAATTACTTGATTGAACTATGCAGTATAGATTGTTGATTTTCGAAACAAATGTTTATGCTTTTTTATACAGAAAAATATACTTTACATATATGAGCAAGAATCACAGCATGTAGAAGTTAAAATTGCTAATGATAAAAAAATGCATGTTCAGTTTCATTTATTGAACAGACAACTACAGATATATCTTTTCATTTTCCTATATTTAAAAAAATAGAAGCAGTCATTCAGTTTTTAAACTATGAATATTTAAGGTATTCTAGCGTATGCACATCTATCTGTATTTATCAGAGAACTGATTTCATGTAAATAGTCGTGGAAAAGTAAACAGAATTGTAATATTCACCATACCATCAGCTATTTATTTTCAAGTTTATGAAATTAGGTATCTTTTACAGTTACTTATGGGACTAACTAGTCCTGCATTTTCAAATAATACTTCTCCGTAAAAGCAGTGCTTGCAGAACTCTATACAAAACAATTTTTAATGGTTTTCTCCTAGTATTTGATGATACAATGAGCAAACAAGAAAATGACCAAAAATATTCTAAAAGCATGAAAATTTGTTAAAGAATCACAAAAGCAAATCTAAAATGAAGGGGCAAAAGGTTTTAAAAATAAATATTTTGTGATGTGTACACGCAAGGAGATTTAGCTACTCCCTAGAAGAGCAATGGAAAAGTGCTAAGGAACAAAAAAGTTCTAAGTGAACCAGATGCACAAAAATATAGGAATTATTGTTTTGTTAGCCAAAAGGAAATTCGTTCAATGAATCTTTATGGCTCTGTAGTCTTACTGACACTCCAATAAATATTTCTGTGTCTGTAAAACAGGATCTTCAAATAAAAACATAGTTTACTAGACACCCGGAAAAACAGCTCTATAATAATTACAGCTAGCAAAAACCACATTTGGCCTTGGTATTTTATGCACTGACTTTTAAAGAAAACATTGTGAGCAACAACATA